GGGAGTATCACAGTCAAAAGCCTGTGTTGACCAAAGGGCTTCCAAGTTGGCCATCATTCACATTTGGGGTTTGAAATAGAAATCGTGGCTATTTAGTTTCTACTTAATAGATTTTTCCCTAAGGGATGCATGAGGCCCACACTTTCCTTGTCCTGCTGTCCTTCTGATTGTACAAGCTCTGCTTCTGACAGTCTCACCTCAGAAGAAATGTGTGTTTCATCTAAACAGACACCTTCGTTAAAACTGTGCCTTCTTGTATTTCACTGTGCGAGCAGCTGTTAGTACCCCAACAATGGGGTGATGCAAAGGCCTATCTGCCATTTCTGGTTCACAAAATCCTGCCTCTCCATCCAGGGACAGTGGCCTCCTTTGCCATCTCCCCAGCCCACTTAGTGGTCCTATAAGAAACAAGCGGTCATCATATCTGGTGATGGGGCACTCTCTGAGACAGCCTGGTAACCAGGGACCACTGCTGAGTCACAAGTAACCCTTTCTCCTTCCTTTAAGGACACCAGATCCCTGGAGCCACCATACTGGCTTCTGACCCTCAATTACTCTGTCTGGGCAGGAGCTCAGCTGCTGTACTTTGTCTCTACTCATAGAACTTCTGGGACCAGAGAGGCTGGCAGAACTGTCCTCATGGCCTGCAGCCTCTGCTGGCCTGGGTGGGGGATTAACACATGTGGGTCGTATCTTGCGGGGCTGCGTGTACAGGGGCATGGCAGGAGTTGGGACTGTGGAGGGGGCAGGAGACTCCCTTCAGCCCACATGCTCTCCGACACAGTCTCTGTCGACTGTGTGCCTTCAGAAAGTGGCATTGATTCCTACGTAAACAATGACACCTATGTGGATGCTTCACCATCCACAAGCTGAAGAGGAGGAGTGAGGAGGGGCTTGGGCCTCTTGATCCTCAAACATGGACCTAAATGTTCCTAAATGCCTGTCCATGAGGTCCCTAACAGGATGATTAGGTAGCTTTATGGTTTAAGAAAACCAGAGGTGTTTTCTGAATGCCCAAAGGTAAACTGAGTTGGCATCTGAGGTTTAAATTGTCTTCCTTAGAAAGCAGCAGGCATGGACTTCTTCCTTACAGCAGCAGAGAAGGAAGTAGAGAGAGGTGACGGGTTGAGCCTCCGGACATGCCACCTGGGTCACTTTTCTTGGTGGGGAAGATTAGGGAGCTTTAGCCTGACTCTTCTTTAATGTCTGAAGACGCTTTCCGGTGTCCTCTGTGTAGTCAGCTCTTGGCAAATCTCTCCACCCAGAACAGTCTATTATTCAGAGTAGTTGGTGGTGTTTGGTGCCAGACACTCCGAGGGATGAGGTCAGCATGGGGTTGACCAGGGAAGAAAGAGACCAATCACAGGATCCCAGAGCAATGCTCAGGTGCCCCAGCCAGTAGAGAGTGCAGCTGCAGCGCTGGACAACTGTAGGTGGACAGGAGAAACACACACCTGCCCATGGCCAGGCTCTCCCTGTGAGCAGGATGGCCATCTTTAGGAGGCATGAGCAGAAGACCAGGGCAAAGAGATCCTTCAATTTGTGTATAGCACAGTCTCGTCTTGAGTTGTATGTCATCCAACACAAAAGCAAAGACTCACAATATGCTGTTCAGTGTTTTTATTAATACTTTGCCTCTGATTTTATCTGGGATATTAATTTATCCTTTAAAATACACCACCCACTACCCAATAATTTTTCATGTTCCTTCTCTAAAACTGAATGAAACATGCTCAAGAAAAGAAGAGATCTGAGCTTCTTTGACTATGACGGAGCACCTACTATACAATGTGTATTCAACAGTTCTTCTCAATCAAATGAGATCTGTTGAATATACATATGTTTTAACCTGTGAAGCTGAATGTTTTTAAATGATGATATTTACAAATGCAGTTTTTCCCAAGGCCAAGATTTTGGGCAAGACTGTCTGAGAGCAAAGGTTTAAAGGCTGGCTCCACACAACCTGTGCACTCAACACCTCTGTGCCTCAGTTTTCTAATCTATAAAGTGAGCATCATAATACAAATTCTGTTCTAGCACTGTTCTGGGGATTAGTAAATATGTTCAGAACAACTAAAACACTCCTGAAAGTAGCCAGAGTGTGAATAACCTCATTCTCTTTCTCATGCTTGATTCTATATCCCAACTCATCAGGTGTTAAGTGTGGAAGCATCTTACACCTGTCTTCATTCCTAAGAGTGGACTCACTGATGGGAAGCAACTGGCTTTCCACCTCCTCAGCCCACTCTAAGGCATTGTCTGAAATGCTTTTGGGATCCAACCAAAGGAACTCTAGATGATGACCCAGGACTTGGGAGCAGAAAGGTAAGACTCATTACTCCGGTCACTCCATTACCAATCCAAGCTAAGAGCCAGTGGTCCTGAGCACTCAGGTCTAACAAGCCTTATGAGGACAAGTCCAGTTCTCCCATGGGATCAGGCTCTCCCCATCCCTGGGAGCCTCTTCAAGGTCTGCCCCAGTGGTCTCCAGCATTAGGCACGTAGCACAGGGCATAGGAAGGATAGTCCACTAGATGTGGGAAAGCTACTTTAGAATTTCTCATTATAGCTATTTTATCATTATTTCATTATTTTAAATTTCTACTTTTTAATATTAATTTTAGGTATATGTTATGCTAGATAGACTTTAAAATTATACAGTATGGAGATTTTATATATATATATATATATATATATATATAAAAACTTTATATATATTATATATATATAAAGTTTTCTCAAATTTGCTCTGATAGAGATGATTTCTGGATTCAGAAAAATGTGAGAATATGAAATAGCTCAGGTGTGGACAAGGGGCAACTTGGGCAGGTACAGAGGAAAGAGCTTGTGGCTTCACACTTTAAGAGTTTGAATGAGGTAGCTTCTCCTCCTCCACCTGTGTTCCCTAAAGACCATCTATGCACTTCATAGTATTGTGTGAACCACCAGATTTCCTTAAAATTCAAGGAAGGTCTCCAATTCAAAGGTTCAGGCTGGCATGTGGCCTGAGACATCTGGATGTCACAACCTTGGTGTATCTCTGCCATGATTATTACTGGCTAAGCCCTGGGGCACACAGGTCTTCCCCTGGAAGTATTTGGAGGTCACTGTCACCTGCCCTCAGAGGTGGGAGAGGAGAAGAACATGGTTCACTCAGAAAGCTCTCTGTTGATGGCATACAGCAGGGGTCAGCAAAGTCCCCTTGCAAAGGGCCAGAGCGTAAATGCTCTTTACTCTTGGTTTTGCCAGCCCAAAGTCTCCTCACAGCCTCTTAACTCTTGTCACTTGGAGCCAGACTGGCCACAGGGATACACAGGCGCAAGGGTGGGACTGCAGTCTGTGCTTCACTCATGGACACTGAAATGGGACTCTTATGCCATCTGCACATATTACAAGTCATCCTTCACCTTCTGATCTTTTCCAACCATTTAAACACAGAGTAGTCATTCTTTAACTCTTTTGAGTGCTGCTAAACCAGGTGGTGAGCTGAATCTGGCCCCCAGGCCACCATTTACGGACTCCAGGCTTAGAGAAAAACACTACAGTTTCATTTTGTTTGTTTTCATAAAGTGTGAGCCTTATACTATCTTCAATGTGATATAGATTAATTAAGCTTTTTTTTTTTTTTACTATGGTAGTGGATTTTTCATGAAACCTCTAGAAGCTGATTAACAAGAGATAATTCTAACAGCGTATGCATATGCAACAGAGAATTAATAAATCTCTCTTGCCATCAGTTTTTATTCAAATTAGGTACTGAATGTCACTGAAGTTGTTACTTCTCCTTGACAAGAAGTACACAGAAATAAGATTACCTTAGTTGATCATATGCAAAAATAAAATGTTCAAGTAGCCCAACTCCAGACAGGAGTAGACCTAGCAGGCTGAAGGTGAAAGAAATCTGACAGAAGAATAAATGGGTATTCTTTTTCATCTATACCAAGATATGTATTATTAACATGGGGCAGCATTTACGATGTCAGAAACAAAATAAAGAGTGTTT